TTAGTGCCCGGTTTACAGCCAGTTTAAATTCCACTGAGCGATAAACAACATGTGATGGCAATAAAGGTTTTTTTAGTTTAACCAAGCTTCCACAAGAGCTACCTGTCAGAGTTTCTGCAAATGCACTTAACCCACGAGGGCTGTCAGATCTATTAACATTCTTTGACAAGACTGCTTCTAACATCTTATCTTCCAATGTTGCTGTCTGTCTATAGAATCACAGAACGTTTTTAGCAATATTCACATGCTGCCTTTGTTTCAATTGTTGGTGCAATTTAAATCAGAGCCACTGTACCCAGTATAATACAAGGGAGAATCACTATTGTCCTGTTAGTGGAGGAGCAAAGGATGAAAAAGCTTTTGTGCATTTCTTTGTGTGCAGTGCAAAGGCGACTGAAAGTTGAATGATGAGGGCAGTGATAGTTTGTGTCTCTGCAGCCAAAGAATCCTGTGTGGGTGTGTGTAGTAGACTGGTCAATAGGCACTGGACGTCAAATTTCTAGACAAAGGCCAGGCTGTATCAGGAACCCTGTCTGCTGCAAGACGGATGGGGAAAATACATTGTTTATTTTCATCAAAAACTGCTGGTCCAGATAAGCAAGATGGAACATTAGCAAAGCAGCCAATGTTCTTAGTTTTACATTTATTCAGTACACAATAAGGATAGTGGAGCAATGCGCAATCTCTCCTTTTTCTCTTATCTGTGCAATCAAACATATTTAATGTTCACCCTTGTATCAGCTCATTAGGGGCAAGGGGCGAAAGATAGGATGGAAACAAAAAATATTTGAAGACACTGGATTCCACACAATTGTACATTGGATATCAGGGGTATGTGTTGGTCTTAAAGCATCCAAAAATCATTCTAAAAGTTGGAGAAGAACTTGAACACTGAGCATAGAATGTGAAGTGCTGGTGTGGTGGTCGCCTATTTGAAATTTGAGAAAGATCAACAGCTGAAATTCATAGGGAATAGATTTAACATGATGTGCAAATGAAGCAAGGGTGATGAACTTTGTCACACAGTGATTGGTTAGAGTGTGGAATGCACTGCTGGGAAATGTGGTGGAGGCAGGTTTCAGTGGATGCAGTTTTAATTGAGGCATTTAAGAGGGCTTCAGATGATTTTCTGGGTAGAAATGGTGTGGGAAGAAAAAGGCAGGAGATTGGCACTAGGTAACCAGTACAGACTTGATGGGTCGAACGGCCTCTTTCTGCACTGTAACAGCTCTGTGATTATATGAGTGTGGCACAATTCATAGAATAAATGAAGGATGCCTTTAATCACAGTTGAAACATCTTGAAACCTATCAAATTCATTGTCTTCATCACCCAACACCAAGAGCTTTTTGGTATCATTAGGAGTCACTTTGGACATGGTATCATTGTTAAGATCCCATTCTAGATCAGATCTTGTCTTTTGGTTTCAGAACCATCCCTGTACCACAAGCCATCTGCTGAATGCAGCCTTCTGCATTATTTGAAACATCAGTGGCCGTGTCCATAGCAATAACCTTCCATATTTGGATGTCAAAACCAAACAAGGTCAGAAATCATGTGAGACCAGGTTATAGTCCAACAGATTTATTTGAAATCACAAGCTTTCGAAGCGCTGCTCCTTCATCCTGGCAAGCTTATATAACACACTTAAATGGATCAGATCCAACCATCAATTCTGCAAAGATTTCACAGCAACAGCAAGATACTGCAGCCACTTCATAGAACATAATAAAAGGTCCAGTGCTGTGGTAGAAAGATCGCTCTGAGACTTATCAAAAGGCCCCAATGCCGAAAGAACTAATTTTCCAGCAATTCATCTTGAATGGTGACAAAAAAACATGAGTGCCAGTGAAATCACACAAGCAGTGTGACTGAAATGCCTATATTCTGTAGATTTTCAAGGACCTACTTCGATACCAGTCCCTCAGTGACTGGTCCTTGTTCTCCTGCTCTTGGGGATCTTTTTCAGGCCTGATTACTTCTTCCACACACCAGTTTCTCATTAATACCTTATCCCCTTGCCCAGTTTATTTGATGAACTAGCAAACGATCCAACTTTTTGCTTGAGACCAGTTTCAAATTTTATTTGATTTATTGGAAGGCCCTTTTCTGGCAGTTTTCTGAATGCCTTTGCAGCACTCTCAGTATTGCCTACCTCGATCCCTTGCATCCATTTATAAGGCATGAGTAAGCACAACTGTGGGGTGAAAAATTGAGATTGATTACTAACGTGAGTATAGCATACAGTGGTTGAAAAAGGGATAGTAGGAACTGCAGATGCTGGAGAATCTGAGATAACAAGGTGTAGAGCTGGATGAACACAGCAGGCCAAGCAGCATCAGAGGAGCAGGAAGACTGACGTTTCGGGCCTAGACCCTTCTTCAGAAATGGCCATTTCTGAAGAA